TTTTTTATAATTATTCAGCAAATTTTCTATTACTTTAATCTTTCCCGGAACTAGTGATACAACTACTTAGAAATTGAGATTGGGGTAGCTGTCTTTTACAAATGGTAAAGCCATATAACGATGATCTATTAAAATTTGAGTAATGTTCAAAGTCAAGTTCTATGTTAGTGTTAGTTAAAGGAACTTCGAGAGTTTCCGGTAATTTATCTTAAAAAAGGATTACTAGGCCAACAAACGTCGCATTTTAAATTGTGGTCCAGACCACCATGAATAAAGAGCTTTAATTTGACTAATATTCGTACCGCAAGAAAAACAATCGGCCGAGTTTTGATTAATGGGAACATGTCTCCAATTATACGAACTAGTTTGTTCCGAAATTTCGGCTACACGGTTGCGAACAAACGGTTGTAATTTGTTATGTATAATTTTTAACCAGCGGATTGTGGAGTGTGACCAGAAAGTGACTGATCTTACTTGAACTCTAAGTGAACTCAATATTGTCTCATAAAGACGAACTCTGACAAGAGCAGTGCAGAGCTTGAGACGTGGTATTGTGGTGGGCTTTATGGGAGCTTTTTGTGATATTACAGAAAGTATTCCACGTTTTGTTAAGTTATTTAAAACAATTTTATTCAAATGAAAATAAAAAATAAATAGTTCATCAGACTCGATAAGCCAACTAAGACATAATGTATTACAGGGTTCCATAGAACCTATATTTAAGTCGAGTGATGAATTATAATAATTAGATATGATCTGAAGCATAAATTGAGTACAGTTATTTCTAAATAGGGGTTGACCCTTAAATCGTCGTTTAAGCGAAAGAAGACGATGTTTAGCGCGTTGCAGCGAATTGCCTAAAATATCACACGACTGTTTCAGTGGTATTTTAACACGGAAACGGTTATCTGTTAGGCGCGTTGTAATTTTTCATAAAATGCTCTTCACACATTTTCTCTTCCTCTGAGAAAATTGATGATTGATGGAAAACCTCCTCAAGGTGCCAAAAACGCATTAATAGGTTTTGAATATCATCATAACTATTAATGTGCAGAGACATTGTCATTCAAATTTACATTTGTAAAAAACGACTTATTGGAAATCGAATGAGGTACATGACCGCTTCAAATTAAAGGGCCAGAAACTAGCCATCCTACTCTACGATTCAAAAAGTACCGGCATTCCCTTTCCTAAATTAATTTTATGTACACCTAGTAGGTCCCAAAAAAACATCCGCACCAATAATTAAATCCACCGAAGATGGTGTGTGGAAGTAGGGATCAGCTAAACATAGGTTACTTGGTAAATAAAAATTGTTTAAATTAATTTGCTGACTAGGTACTTCGTCAGTTATATGAGGTATAATAAAACAGAATAGATTAGTAGTGAAGTTTTCGTTCAAAGATTTTATAGGTACGCAGCACATTTTGCCTTATGTGTGACTTGGAATTATTAATTCCTAATAAAGATTCGTTGACGTTAAATGTAGGTAAATTTAATAATTTACTCAATCTTTCTGTTATTAAACAAGAAGTGATTCCACTGTCAAGAATGGCGCGAGCTAAGTATTCCTTTTTGCTTTTGTAAAAAAAAGGGAAGTAGGTAAAAGTACCTGAGATTTATTTTGTAAATAAGTACACGCTTGCGCCGATAACGTTACATTATTTTTACCGTTATTGTCGCATGACGTACGAGGGAGGGAGACGGGACGGTCCTCTGAATGGGAAGTAAGATTGGAAGTTGTCCTCGGCTTCATGTCTGAAATGTGAATCAGTGTTGTGCTTTCTTTTACATATTTTACAACCAATCTACTTATAATGACCGGAACGTAATTATGACACACCTTAAATTGTGATATTAATTCGAACCGTTGTTCACAGGTAAGCCCTAAAAACGTTGAATAATTGCTAAGACTGTGATCACCGTTGCAATTTGGACAAGATTTGGACTAAGACGCCTCACTATTCCCGCTTAACCGTGTCTGATTTTTAGTTACTGACACCATGCTCTTAATTTTATTATTATTTTTGTTTTGGTTAATTTGGTAATTGTGAGAAATTTCCAGTGTTTCTAATAGGTCTGCGCGATTTTGTAAAAATGTTAAAAATAACGCAAAGGAAATCGTTTTATTGTTATCTAATCTTGTATCTTGTATTAACTGATGTTTTTGCTTTCAGTCCCGAGACTATTAAAGCTTCATCTGACGCAGAACCGGTGGGCTAGCCAGAACCCACGGGTTTGGGCCCTCCGCTGTGGGTAGGGCCGCGCATGTGCTCATGCGTGCGTTTAACTACGACATGTCATCTAAGGGCCATCGAAGTTGCGGTGCGGACCGAGACCCCGATGGCCGTCGACTGTGTTTTTAGCTAATCGGTGGCTGGGGGCGGTGAGAACCGCCCTGGAACGCGGGTGTACCTTGTGTACGCGTTGTGTTGGTCTCGCCGTGCTCGGAGGCGAGGGCGAACTATTGTGTTTGTTGTTACACTAGCTGTGGGTGTAGTGTTATCCGGCGGGACCCCCGGCGGTGGGTCCGGCGTATCTAAGTCCCCTTCCTCGACCGGGTCGATGAGGACGTTTCGCGGGCGACGCTTGTTGACGTTCGCGTTTAATCGCGGTAATTTGCTGCGCTTACCACCAGAGGGTTGGGATGATGTTCGGCTCTATCTTTTTCTCCCAGGGGAGCGATTGGCCATAAAGGGATATTTGCCCCAACTTTCTGCATTGGCGAGGACCGTTATCAAGATGTGACGGGTAAGTACTTCGTGTGAAGTGAATCGCCACACTCTTTTCGGGATTTATTTCTATTCTCCATTTGCGGAACCAATCGCCGAGGCGGTCGGCGGCGCTTTGGTGTCGAGTGGTTAGTATTCTAAGGTTGCGGTCTGAATAAAAGAGCGTGGTGTCATCCGCGAAAAGCGCGAGATTGACGTGGGGGTCTTTAGGTATATCGGTCGTGTAGAGCGTAAAGAGCAAAGGTGAGAGGCAGGAGCCTTGTGGTACGCCGGCCGTGAGGCGGCGGCTTGTGGAGAGGTTGCCCTCGACTCGATATCGAAAAGAGCGATTCAACAAAAAGGCCCGGATGGTGTGTACGAGCCTATCTGGCACTTTGAGTGTGTATAGCTTGTAAAGTAAGCCGTTGTGCCAGACCTTGTCGAATGCCTTTGCGACATCGAAGAAAAGAACCCCTGTACTGATATGTTTCGGGTGGTTTAGGCCTTTTAGGATATGCTCCGTTAGGCGGTATAATTGGTCGGGACAAGAGTGTCTAGCTCGAAAGCCGAATTGTTCCGTCGGCAGAAGGCCGTTGGAAAATACGTGCTCTTTGAGCCTGTTTAATAAGAGCCGCTCGTAGAGCTTCCCCAGGCAACTTAGGAGGCTGATGGGACGATAGCTAGAGGGCTGGTTGGCTGGTTTATTCGGCTTGCGAATGCCGATAACCGTGGCTTGTTTCCAGTCGTCCGGAAAGGAGCAACTGGAGAGTAGAGTGTTGAAAATGGTCGCCAGTAAACAGATAAGCGGCCCAGGGAGAGCTTTGAGAATTTTTTTACTGATATTATCTGGGCCCGGGGCGGATTTCGGTTTTAGATTTTTAATAATATCTTGGACCTCTTCGGAGGTCACTGAATTTAAAGGTTCGCCTTCCGGTGGAAGCGCAGCCCTAGTCTCGATTACGCGGTCGACCTCCGTTAGGTGGACTGTATCGGTGTGTTCGCGCGATGGCGTACATTGCTGCTCTAGGTTGCCCGCAAGGCATTCGGCTTTTTCGGAGTCATCTAGGGCTACTGAAGCGCTTTGTATGGTACGCTTCATTTCATTGCGCTAATCTATACCTCCTTCTACCTATAATCTAGGGATGGGCAAGTAAGAAAATATATCGATATTTATCGTATCGACGTTTTTAAAAACTATCGATAATTATCGAGTGAAAAATATCGATAGATCGATATATCGATATATTTTTTTTTAATTATTCATATTTTCAAACCATTCAGAATTCGTTAAAATAGAATAGACTTGAAGAAATAAGTAATATTTATTTACAATCGACTCAATCAAATACAATTTATTCGAACTAATAGTCCTCTGATATTAGGAGCACCCTCTGTTTAATGTGCTTTGCTGTCAAACGGCTTCTATTGTTGGGTACTGTCAGATTCATAGCTGAAGCAACTCTTTCTGAAGACGCCGAAGAAGCTGACTTTTCAATTTCAATTATTTTTAAGGTCTTTTCTTTTTGTAAATTTATTAATTTATAATTACATAAAATTGTAAAATATTAATCAGTCAGACGCTTTGGAATCATTAAACGTCGCAGTGTTAAATAAAATCATGCAAACAGAAATAAGCATCGCGCTAAATAGTTAAAGAATTTAACTAGTTGATCAACTTCTCATGATACTGAAGTTATCCGACGTCGTTGGAAAAAGTTTCAAATAAATAATATTTGAAACTTTTTCCAACGATAAATTATAAAAGAAAATATATAAAAAATAGTATTTAGAGTTTTTAAATTTTTACATGTGCATTGTTTTTAACTTCAGGGTCATACACGTCTCACACTGATGTTTTAATATATTAGTAATTAGTATTTTTATGATATTGGCTTAAAGGTCTTGTTACCAGGCCATATAATCTTTATTAAAAAGAAGTATTATCGTGCACGCATTTATTAACAAACATCAAACCAGAGTTGCGTTAGAAAATATATCGAAATTGATACGAATTCGATAGTCGAAAATAAATATCGAATATCGATATATCTGGAATAAAAATATCGACGATATATATCGATATTTGGAAAAATATCGATATTTTTTGACCATGCCTAATTACCTACTATAATCTAAATATCAAAATTAAATCAGAAGGTGAAAAAGTATTTATCGATAATTATTAACAGTTTAAGATTTTTAAAGCCTGTTGTTATTTTGTAAATATTATTTTGTTTATTAAAAATATTTGGTTCATTTTTGGTTACTTTCTTTTGTTTTCTTTTTGTAATGGAATCTCAAAGACAAGACGAGGTGTCCGATGAGGATATTCCGAGTGATTTTTTTGATGACTTTAACAAGGATGAATTTATAGAAGGTCTTAGTGTAATAGATAGCTGGGATGTTCAGGAAGGTGTTCAAACGAAAGCCTCCCGATCACGTTTAAATTCTGCAGTGGATGGCGTACGAGATCTACGGGAACTCATTCGTGACGGACGTGACGATGAATTGGAGATGATGCAGCATGAAAGGTATGAAAGCAGATCCAAAAGAAGTCGATATGAATATGAACCACCACATGAAAGTCGATTTCATGAAAACCGACGGGACAGTAGTTGTAGTAGAATGGATAACTACATAAAGCCAGGTAGTCGTCGGGATCTGCGTAAAACAAATGAAGCAATTAGAAAAGACAAACAAGTAAAAGTAAAAGAATATCTTAGTAAACACCTTGATTCTATTGATGATCCGAAGCCACCAGGGACAGAGCTTGATGACTTTCTTAATGAACCTTCTACTATGAGCAAAAGAAGAAATAAATCTAAAAGTCCAGATATGCAATATGTTCGTTATCCATCAAAGGAATTTAAGTATAGGATATCACCAAGGAGACATTATCAAAACAGAGAACGATATAGTGTCCATTGGAGTCCCAGAGAAAAGTATTATAATCCCCACCATCCGAATAATCACTACAGTCCACACCATAAAGTTCGCTACCACAGCCCCAGTTGGAGATCCAGAAGACACTATAGTCCTCACTACAATCCTCACTACAATCCAAGGCAAAGTAGTCGACATAGGCGCAGTCCTGTACATAGGAGTCCATCCCTGCACAGCCCAACTCATCGTAGCAGAGGTCGCTCAAGAACTCCAACAAGATATGAAAAGCATTCTCCAGTTAAACATAAAGATTCATTCCTGTATCCAAGTGAAACACCCCAAACATCAATGCAAGTTTCAGTGCCGCCTAATCCAGTACCATATCAAAGTGACAAGGGAAAGTTTTACTTAAACTCCACCTTACCTGAATATCCTGCTACTGCACCAGGGTATTCTTATGTTCAAGGCACACCTTATCCATGTGCGGCATATGATTATCAAGTACAAAGTGATGCAATAAATCACGGTTTAGTGCAACCTTTGTCAACACAAGTAATTAATTCAGGTCCTCCCATGGTCCCACCACCTCAGGAATGTGCTACTGCTATTGCCCCAGCTCCACTTGCAAGTAATATGCCTGCTCCACAGGAAAAACCATTTGATGCATTAGCAAAAGTAATTATGATTAAAAACTATTATCAAAAACACCTATATTGTTGTTCCTTTACACCTATATTGTTATGTTTTTTCATTGCCTTTGTAAATTAATGGGATTAAAAACTATTTCAGTTGGTTATTGAGGGCAAGATTTCTAAAGAAGACTATCTTAAATTGACACCAAATAAAGGTAAGATGCACATTTAATATTTATCAACTTTGAGCATTTCTATTATAGTTCTTACTGAAATAACTATTTTAAGATAAGTCCAGTTTATGTTTACTGTCTGTATTTCAGGTACATATAAGGACAAACCTATAGACACCCATGTCAAAGCAAAGGGTGGGTAGTCATTGTCCATATATTTGTTGTTGATAACCTATATTTATATTTTACAACATTATTTATTCTAACAATTTTATAACATTTGTTAGGTAATTTGAACCTTAAAACATTTGTTGTTGTGTTTTTTTATAATTCAGTATTAGATTTTAGAAATTTATTGTAATGGAGCCTAATACTTCAGTGTCTGGGTAATCATATTATGTTTTATTATTGATACTACAGCAAACATTCCCAAAACCTGTGCCAAAATCGAAAACTTGTAAAATAACAATTTTTCACTATTTTATAACACGTTCAAAATTGAAGGACATCTCTGTGAAGTGTAATAAAAAAAATTGGGGACACAAGGTCTGGCCCATTATTTCCTTTTAACAGAGATAGCTTGCACCTCCTTCCTGTGAATTTACTGTTAAAGCATACTTTCTAAAAGTTCTTGAATTTCTAGTCTGGTGTCCTTCACTTATAAATGTCAGCATCAAACTAAATTCAAGGACTTTAGATTGTATACTTTGTATTAATAAATTTGACTTGTACTGATTTATAATTTTGTATTCACAGTTTTAAATCGCTGCATTGAAGCGTTGGCTAAGCTTACTAAATTAGAATTACCGAATCGTTTGTTAATAAGCACTGATCTAATTGGTCAAGAAACGAAAAGTCTTACCCCCAAGTTTTGTTCTCCATTAAAGAGGCAAGAGATGGTCGATTTCAATTTTACGAAAACAAATGGCAAAACGGATATAGTTCAGCAAAATAGACAAGTGATTGACAGCATAATTTCTACTATAGGGCTAACTGACTTGATCTCCCGTCCGAAAAAGCTTAATCCAACAAACTCCAAAGATGCAGCGGTCCAAACCACGAAGCCTTTCTGTGAAGTGTGTCTGATACGCGATTCTACGAAAACTTACGAGGCGGGGACTTCGACCGATATTGAAAATTTTACGTCGACTGTGCATACTCAGGTCGTGGAGCAGGACTTAATGAGTTCAAAGTCCGTTTTCAACCCAAGCGGATGCGTCACTGACAATGAGCACATCTCGATCGCCCACCTCACACCGGCACAACTGGTGTCGCAGCTCGCGGCGCGTGCGAAGACCCTACAGCAGTCCAATCCAGTGCCGCGCCAATTCAACAGGCGGAATCCTGGAAACAACTACGCCGGCGGCGCAAGTAATGACGACAAGTTCTACGGTCATCCTTACCACTAATGTTGATACACGTTTAAGTGTTCAGCTCTGGTCTGTTCGAGATATTGATTTTAATGTATATTTTATTCTCAAACTTGAGTTATCAGTGGATTTCTGTTTTACCTGATGGTTGCAATTAAATGCAATCAATCAAAATCTTTATTTCGTCTTATCAGATACTAGTTTTAGTTCCTCAATGTTGTGTATTTTATAAGTCTTAAAATAGCGTAGTTCGACCAACCTCTTTGTCGTAATGATAATTTCAGTTTGGGTGTTTTTTATGTTTTAATTAATAATACGTACGGTGAAAACAAGATATCTAGCTTTGAATGTATTTGGAAAAAATATGTTATCATAAGTTTTGCTTCGTCTATTAACCCGCTTGTGCCACGCATGTAAAGTATGTTGTGATCAATGTTCGATCATATTTTCTCCGAGCACTATATGACATATGTAGTGTTCTGACTTGGAATTTTCGAGACCCTGGAAAGCGGCATACATTACGTACGTGATTAAATTTGTTAAGAAATATGAATATATATCAGTTATGTAAACATCAACATATATTTAAATAACTGTTACTGTAGTTATGAATCAAGCTGCTCACCTCACTCGATCTACAGCTGTCGGAACGCTGCAGAGTTAACAGGAACTAAATGAAGATGACAAGATGTTGAAAATACAATGTGAAGTGCAAGTGCTTGACAAAATTTTACAAATCATTCTAAGTGCGCGTAACAGACTAATGTTTTCAAAGACCAACAGCTTGGTGTAGAATTGTGTTTATTATAAATTGTAGAGGGTTTATAAAAGTAAAATGCTGCTGATTGTTTTTACAATAAATTTATGAAAAGTACTTATCACTTAACATGTTTTGCAAGAAATTTGTGAATAGTACTTATCACTTAACATGTGCGGTCATTTTTGTCACAATTACATGTTAAGATATAAGACAGTTCGTTTATAACTATTGATTAATTGTTAAGAACGAACTGTATACTGTATAAAAATTTCAAAGGAGCCATTTTGGGCCTTACTGTGTAGAAAAAATGCGGGAAAATAAATTTTTGCAGTTATTAGTGGTTTTATTTCTTTTCATCTTCACAAAATTTTACATTAGTAAGTATTTCATATTATCTGAAATATGGATATACGGGTCATTTCGTATTTATTTATTTTACTTTTTATGTAATATATTTTTTCAAATGAGTATGTGCAAAACAAAACTACTAGAACGGTTCAAATTGTTTGTTTTTTCATTATTAATTGTAATTTTACTGACTGTAAAATTACCAAGTCCTATTCAAATATTTCTTCTATATAAGACGACTGTGTACTAATTTTCCCAGCAGTTATGACAAGACTAACACACAAAAGAACCTTTAAGATTAGAACATAAGCTAATCTTAAGTAATATGGCCATTAGACCAGCGATGTGTGGCCATTTAAAATCCGGTAAGAAGCTCGCTCGTTTCAGATCATGTTTTTAAAAAATAATATTGAAACAGCAGTCCACTGGTACCGACTCGACATCCGACTACAGACATGCCATGCGCGATAAGGTAAGTTCCACTATTGTTTAATTTTGCTAAATTTGCAATGGCTAAAATTTAGGATACTTTTTTCTTTCAAAAAAGTGAAAATTGTATGTTTTGTTAACTCTTTAAGTTCTGTATTTCATCTTGATTATAATACGATATTTATTTATTTCATTGTTTATTTATTATTTTTAGTTATTTTATGGTTATTTACATTTTCAATTTAATCTATCTAAACTACAATCTTTATGTAGACTACATAATGGCATTTTGTCATAAGTTATAAAATAAATTAAGGCCATAAGTATATCTGTGCCTCCTGTGATCAGTGATACAAGTCGAAAATCAACATTTTACAGGAGAGCAAAAACAAGATTTAAAAAATTCTAGTTCATGAAGTGGATAGACTAGGACAAAACTTTGTACACACTCATATAGATTATAACATTCTCTTTCATCCTGTATTACAGTTTTTGTTAAAAAATTATATAATTTATCAGTAACTCGAAAAAAACTTTTGAATTGTACCTCTGTAAAGTAAAATATTGGCAAAGAAGATGTGTTACATGATATGAGTAGATTTAAACCATGTTGCACCTTATTATAGTCTTTGTGAAAACTGATATACGTGTAGTATAAAAACAAAAATAACTTATTAGAACCTCTTCCTATCATAATTGTTTAATCAAATAAAAAATAAATGAAACATCTAGATTCATTTTTTGTAGTGTATATCCCCCTGTTGTGATAATTTCTTTGAATTGTATCAACTAGCTAAAATCCTCGTGATTTGAAACATGTGTTATATGATACAAGTCAAATTATACCTGACTTGAAAATTTATATTGATTGTGTAAATTAATACAACTATTCAAAAAATAATAAAAAATTTATTGTACTTCTCCTAAATTATTCTTATCTCATGATTCAATAAAAAATTATAAATTATATATCTAGGATCGGTCATAGGAGATATCACAATAGGTACCTTTCAGTACTTACAGGATATTATGATCATTATCTTAATCCTAGATTAATAAATATAGAGAAATTAACAAACACAACAAAATCTTCTTCTATAAGCATATATAATAATTCTTTCTATAAGCACCCTATCTATGAGTAAAATCACCTTTAGACGTAAACCAAAAATAAAAGGAAACTATAACGACAAAATAAACGACAACTACTCAGAATCATCGTCATTGTCCGGAAGAGAGTCTTTAATGTTTTTTTTTTATGGAAAAAGGAGGCAAACGAGCATGCGGGTCACCTGATGGTAAGTGATCACCGCCGCCCATGGACATTTGCAACATCAGTTGAGTCGCAATTGCATTGCCGGCCTTTAAGGTAGGAATAAGCTCTCTTCTTGAAGGTCCCTAAGTCGTGTCGGTCTGGAAATACCGCTGGCGACAACTCGTTCCACAAAGTAGTTCATTTAAAATTTCGCGAAAAACTCACAGTGGTGGACCGCCAACCATCAAGGTGGTGTCAATGGTACTTGGCGGTTTGACGAGTTGTACGATGGTGAAGTTCACCTGCAGGTATCAACTGAAGAAAATGCAAAGGGATGCAACAACCCTTCGCAGGGCCAAAGAATCGAGACGATCGGACAGAATTTGGTCGTCGATTATTCGAGCAGCTCTTCGTTGGATGCGGTCAAGTAGTAGGAGCTGGTATTTCGGTGCCCCAGCCCAGAGGTGAGAACAGTATTCCATGTGCAGCCGAATCTGTGCTTTATAAAGCTGCAAACGATGTGCGCGTAGGAAATACTGTCTCGCTCGGTTTAGGATACCGAGTTTTTTAGAAGCCAGCTTGGCTTTTCCTTCCAAATGACCGCGATATTGAACGTCACCGGTCACTCTTACAGTTTAGATTTCTATAAAATTCATGAGCTCTTTCATGGATAATAATTGTACTAGATCCTTCTTCTTTTCTGTTGAAATGGGAATCTTGGAATGGTAAGCTTTTGGTACGGTACAAATTCCTACCATATAGTACACTTTTCCGCGTTTCGATAAATTCATTCATGTTCCCACCGTCTTTGAGTCCTTTTTTTGTAAGAAATACAGGGAAGAAAAAAAACAGAAATACAGTTGCCTTAAAGATACATACTCGATATGACATCAGACTACAGAAACTTTTTAATGTCTGTAGTTGTTTTGGGAAGGAATTGTTTAAAAAAAATACCGAAGTCGTAAAACATATTCAGAGTCATTTCGATCACAGTAAACTTTGCAGATTTATTTGAAGCTGTGCAGACTAGTATCTACCAATCTCTTGGCAGGTGAATATCTATGCCCGTGTGCTTCTTTTTATGCTCAATCAGCGCATGGTCACTGTCTGCTTCCATGTCAGTATGGCTAGGTACTAGAAATTAATGTTCGATGGATTGTAATTGATATCAGGTATTAACTTTTATAAGTTTCTCGCGTAAAGTCTGAAGATACTTGTGGTTTTAGTCAAAAGTCTTCAAAAAACATCCTTTACAAATTGCGTGTTTTTTGTTATGATCAAAACCGTGAAAGAAGTATCGAAAAAATCTAGCGTTCCGTTTTTTCTTGGGATATTTGGACGTCTTTTTTTTTGAAATTCCAAGACTCCAGTATGTTTTGAACAGAGTGTTCCTTAAATGAAACGGTAGTCTCTCTTTGCATTTCTGACATAGTTGTTTAGATCACGTAAGTCACGAGTTCTTCTTGTTTTTTTTTCCTGATGTTGTTGTATATTTCGAGGCAGTGTTACAAAATAGTTTATTTATGTGAGAAGGTGGCACGCGAGCTGTAGGTCCACGTTATGTTAAGTGATAGCCACCGGTCATGGACATTTGCAACTCCTGTAGTGTGGCAGATGCGTTGCAACCTTTTAATAAAGTGGACTTAGTCAGTCACTTCACTCCCGCACATAACCGCCACCCTCACCTTGTTTTAATTTGTATCATTTTACACTATAGTTCGTAGTAAATACTTAAATACTTTAGAACATGTTTGCATTTCAGATACAACTCAATTTATTTTAGTGTTCAGATAAGAATAGATATTGTGTGAAATGATGCATGTTGAGATGTATCATTCAGCACGTAATTAGGCGAAATTAATATTCAGATCGGTAAGTACATGTCAAGTTGTACCCTGCAAATAACAAAATAAACTTAGGTTCAAGTTGATGTAACTGGAATAAAATTATTATTCACGAAATATCATTAGAAAATCAAATGTGAAAATTGATATTATAGTAGTTATACCACAAAGTACGAAAAAAAAAATGTGTGGAGTGATACTTTACTGGTGCTATATCAAGACTAAAATCAAAATTCACGATTTTTTCATCCAAACCCCATTAGTTATATCACTTTGCACAAAATTATCTCGAGATCTATAGCAGATAGAAACACGTGAGTCAGACCCAAAGCTAGCTTATTTTTTACTGATTGCTTATGTGTTAAAATCAGAAAAAGGGTACAACTCGAGTTGTATCACTGATCACAGGAGGCACAGATATAAATGTTTATAATCATGCAAACAAAAATGGGAACAACAAATAATCATATTTTAGTTATACCTGATTAAATTATTTACACAGCTGTTTAAATTTATTTACACAAATTACATATTTAGTAACAATAGTTTTAATCAAATCTAGTATTCAATTTAATTATATATTATGACACATCCTATGTATTTTGATTCTTAAGCATTACATGAAACAAACATAACAAATAAAGATTTACGTAAGATATAATTGATTTTTATTTTTACTTTGAATTTTAGCCAATAAACTAACAGTCAACTTAAGAACTAAAGGCCCATTTACACGATGCCATTTTCTTGAACATACAAGAGCAATAATTGAATGCAATAAATTGCGCGCAATAATTGTTTAGACCATTTGTTGTTTAGACCATGCAACTCATTTATTGCTTCAATTTAATTGTATACAACAGGCAAGAAACTGGCATCATGTAAATGGGCCTTACCCTCTAAAAAATCATCAAGCCACTTTTCTAGATCTTCTGGTGATGCTATGACAGGATTCAACTTTGGTTCTTCTTTAACTGGGGTAGTAGCGTCTGAAAAATTAATATAAATGATATGTACAAGAAATAAAGTTTTCAAGAAATATTTAAGTATTCTGTTTGAGAAAAATGATAAAATTTCCACTGAATAGGATTATTGCACTGAATTGATATTAAATTTAAAAAAAAATTAGATTGGGCATAGCTGACAAAATTAATAATGTTTGTTAAGAGGTGAGCTACATGTCTAAAAAAGATTTACATGTTTGTAAATTTTAATGGTAATCACTTATTTTAAATTAAGAATTATGTACGCTTCATTTACCTTCAGACACTTTAGTAACTTGTTCTACATTGACATCTTTAAGTGTTGCATCAGCTTCGAATTTGATTTCAGTACTGTCAGGTTGGGTTCCCACAATTTCTATGATGTCATCAATGTCGTCAACCAATTTATTTTTGTGTTTTTGATTACTATTCTTTAATTGGGTATTTTTGAGTTCTGCTCCATTTGTTTCAAAATATACTGTTACAGTTTTTTCAATTTCCTTGGGATGTTCTGGTTCTAAGTTATTGTGAGTTGTTAGCCTACATATTTCTTCACTTTCGGCAGGACTTCCACACATTTCAACTAGTTTTTCAGAATTTTCAGATTTAAGTCCTACCCTATTTGCAGGATCTTTAGTGAAGTTGGGAAGTTGTTCAATATCTATAGTTTTTTCATTTTTTTCTTGAAATATTACAGGGTTTTCTTTCTCATTATCTTTTTCATTTTTGTCTTCAGAGCTTGTTAATTTGTTTAAAATGTTTTCTTCAGCTTCCAACTCAGGTGTTGTGTATTTTTGATCATTATAGTATTTCTGTTTAAACTTGGTTGCTCTATTGTCCATATTAAATATATCTGCTTCATTAAAATTAGATTTGTCTATGTTACTTCTTTCATAAAATGGTATAGTGGAGAGAGCTAAAGCTAATGTGTCCATGTCGATTTCAAAATATTTGTCATATAATGAGGGTCCTGTATCAACATCCCATGACTTTTCATGTTTAAATTGAAAATGCCCACCAACTGATAAAGGTGCTTGAATAAGTGTCTGTAAGTTTTTCAAACATACTTAATTAATATCTATGAATGTACCAAAAGTCCAATTTTATGAAAAACATTCAAGTTAATTGGAATCATACACATAATATTTATTCGTGTATTGTGCTACCTTCATAATAGGCAACTAAGTTATTTTATTAATTTTAAATAGTGTCCCTTTTATATAGATGTACATATTAAAATTGGATTTTTTAATATGTACATCAATATAAAAGGGATTATTATATAGATAGAACTACTCGTTACACTAAATGATTTTCGATAGGTTGTTTTTACAACTAAACATTGCTGACTGCAGTAATTTCTTCAATCTGCTTTAATAACTCAATAGCAATTAAAGCAGACTTGTCCAATCATTTCTGTATAGCTGACTGAAATGTTTTTGATGTATTATTTATTTATTTTAAGAGTATTTATACCTCATAGTCAGCACCAATATTTTCTTGTTCTTCGATTTCATTGTAGCTCTCAATGGGCATTTCATATTTTGCCCAATTACTCTGGATCTCCTTCTTTTTATATTTCATGTTTTCTTCTTCTGTTATTTTGAGTATTTCATCAGTTTCTCGCTTTAAGCTTTTATAAAATTCTGGCCCTGGGGCTACATATGCAGGCTTTTCAGGAACTGTAACTGTAGAGAGTAAACAATAAATAACCTATAGGGCTACAAATAAGTGCTTAAGAAGCAATTTATAAGTCCTCACATTTAGTAGTCTTAATTAATAGGTACTATAGAAATAAAGAATAATAAGACCATGAGTACAATAATATTGACTTAGTTATAGAAAATAAAACAACTACAGTAAAGCTAATATGTTTTTTATCTAACAAAATAGTCCTTAGTAAGGAGTGCTTTGGCAACCGCTGGTGAGGTATGAAATGGGTCAATATCCATTTGCTTATTGATAAATTTCACTGTTTTTAACATAAAATAATTACTTCTATAATTTGTATGACATTTAGGAGCGTGGAAAGATTTGCGTTTTCTTTTGTTTGAGAAAGGAATGTTTAACAGGAATAAATTATCTGAATAAATATCATGAGAGTTAATAGATCTCTTAACAATTTTGAAACGCAAACAAATTGATAATGAATAAATAATGAACAAAATGGTTACATCTATCATTATAATCTCTTGACTTTATGTGTTCTAGATGTATCTTAAAAACTTTTTTGAATATAATAAAGTATTATAGGATTTTCAGTTTTATAATAATTCAATTGCTTTTTTTTACTTTTCAATTTATTTTACCTTTAGGAACTTCTTGTACTTGATTAGTAGCAGGTGTTGATTGCTTTTCGTTCCTTTTTTCTACTCGTGCATCATGTCGCCGCTTGGATCTTCTTTGTTCTTTCGGGTCATTCCTACAAACCAAGGGTTATTGTTTCATATAACATATATTTTTATCGTTTGTTTTATTAATGTACGGTACTCACTTGGACTTCTTGTCTTCAGGCATTTTGGGCAGTGATACCGTAGTACGGTAAGTAGGGGTTCGACTTTGTGTTGCAAAAGTAGTTTATTTAATTGTCATAAAAATATGCTTTAAAGAAGATCGTGTTTAATAATAGATTTATTTTATTTTAGATCAATATTTCTTAAGACCCATATGTTTTCAAGTTTTAGTAATTAGGTGGTACTTCTTTATAGATATGACAGTTTAATGACAGACGACAGTTCGACAGTTATTATTGATTATTATTTATATAGTCTACCGTCTTGGGATTTCTCCTTTACTCCAATAAAATGAATTATCATCATCATTTCAACCTGTTTAAGTCCACTGCCAAACATAAACCTCCCTCACAATGTTTTGTTTTAGAATACATTTAAAAGATTTGTACTTAAAAATATTAAATTTCATTTGGGCAGCACAAAAACAAAAACTATCACCAAAAATCACTATCAAAATATCTCATAAACATAAAAACGACTAAAATTCTGAATCTCGTTTTTCAAGCTAGAAAAAATTTTTAATCTATAGAGAAATGTTAATAATTAAATATTATATAAGTTATAATTAATGAAAACCTAGATTATGAGGAAAAAATTAACAAAAATTTTTAAATTTTATACAACTGAAATCCGTTATAACTCTGCGTTCATTATTCATTATAGACTATTATTTTAAGTTAAAAACTTATGATTTCACTTTTTACGTTGTAAGAAGACACAAATACACAGATATATCACAAAAACACAAGTTTCTACTTCATGAACATTATTACTTATTTGTACACTTAATGTCTCGACTCGAATATTAGGCGCCAATACCAAACAAAAAAGTTAACAACGCTACGCTATTCTTATTGAAATATTACGGACATTTTTTTTTAATTTGTATCGATTATAAATCGATTGCAATTTTTTATAATTTAAATTATTGTCAACTAAACTAAATTAGGTTCAAAATTTATTTTTACTGATTGATTAGGTTTGTGATTGCACATTTTTATATATCACGGAGTCTTTTCGACCTAGATTATTAATGGATTAGGTGAGGTTCAAAATGAGTCACAGATCCGACACAGAGCGATCCGACTCGGATAGGTTAGGTTAGAAGGCTAAGGCGGAGCTGCGCTTAGCCTTCGTGGTTATTTTTTATAACCACCCAGAAAACTTTAGTGTAACAGTACTTTTAGTATTTTTAAACTCTTTTTTAATAATGCGAAGGTTATAATTTGGAAAAGTGTATTAATTCGTAAAATACATGTTGTCAAACACAAAATGGCAGAGTTATTTAGTGAAAATAACTGCCAAATTCTGCTTGTTGATTATTTCATTAGTGATTTTTCTTAACCTTCCTTCCTTCTGAAATTGAGTTTGATAATGTACTAACTACTACAGTATGACGTTGCTCGCTTCCTATATCGTGATGGCAGTATTGTCATATGTATTGATGGTAGCAGCACTGCGTGTATTTCAAAGACCTTACACTTACTTATTAACTACACTTATTTGTAAGTATAAGATCTTTGGTGTATTCATGTTTTTGACGTCAAATTAATAAAATGGCGGACTTTATTAATTAAAATAACAAGCTTTAATTTTTTTTTTATTAAAAGTAAGTGTTTTCAATGGTTTTTCACGTATATAATATTTAATTATTAACATTTCCCTATCGTTTAAAAATTTTTTTCTAGTTTGAAAAACAAAACGTACTATTCGGAATTTTTACCATAACGGTTTTTATTGGGAGCCGTATATCACTCCAAGAGTATATCATTCCAAGAGCCGTGATAGTTCAGTGTCCGGTCGCTCGCCTTGAATTGAATTTACTCGAGCAACCGGAGTTCCATCCCCGGTGTAAGCACGTGCACGTGCTCAGCGGTGAAGAAAAATATCGTGAAGAAACCTGCATCTTTCGAAATAATAAATAGAATATTTCCAAAAATATGTGAAGTGCGCCAATCCGCAGTGAGGTCGCGTGGTGGACTGTGCCCTGATAACCTCTTTACAGAGGAGGCATTTGCCCGACAGTGGGACATTTATAGGCTGTTACTTTACTTTTACTTTAAAATTTTTATATCATTCCAGTCCTTTGGTAGTAAACGCAACTAATTAATATCAACCAAACGGCAGACCCTAACGTGACCACCAAAGACTACTAATGTATACTGGAAATAGACAGGCAACTCGTTTTTTTGCTGTCAAACATGCGCCTCCTGGTATTCAAATGCGGAACTAAATTTAATAAATATACCTAGCTATAGCTACATATAGCTAGCTAAGGAAAGTAGTTACTAGGTATTAAAAATTTTAATAAGTTCGATTTACCACAAAAATTGGACGTTTTACACGTCCAATTTTTGTGGTAAATCAATATATATAATAATTTTAAACTGAATTAATTTATTTACAAGTTCCCATAACAATTAAAAATCTGTGACATTTATTTATATTTGACTTTAATACTAAAGTACCTGATACAAAAATAAATAAATAAATAAAAGATGTTGAATCATTTTAAGCAGTTTATTTCAATAATTAATTAAGACATAATTCAGTTACATGTCTGTCTTAATTTACAAACATAGACTCCTATCATTTCTCAACAAACCATTATATTTTGAAGTTTTAATTAACTAAACTTTTATCAATATTTCTTTTTATCTTTTTCTTTTCCTCTCTTTATTTTTCAAAAAATGATTGTGGGCTGAATTTTTCATATTATCATTTAAGGCAATCTTTCCAGTGAGAACATAATTACCATCTTTACACAATTTGTGAAAAAGATTTTGTACTTTTGTTTAGTAAATAATTAAGCAGCCTTTCTTGATGATGTGAGCCAAGAGAAGCAAGACAGAAAATTTAAATCTTAATTAGTGTTTATTATCAATTTAATATATTGCGAAATGTAATTTTCTCAATGTAATTTCTCAAAAGAGTTCTCCAATGCATCCTAATTGAAGTTTTACAACAATAAATAACTTATATCCTTGGAATTTAAATATTTCAATAGTACTCGGAAACCTATAGTAATTTATTCCATAAATGGTGATGAGGCGTGGCAGTTAATGCTGCTCTATTAAGTTTTCCTTTTTAAACTTCACTGAAGCTGCCATTTACACTATCGCACAGGTCATCAAATAAAACTGACAAGTTATGGTTTCAATGCTCTCCTTAGGTAATTTTCCACATTCTGTAATGAAAAGAAATATAATTTAATTATTTTTTTATCAATAATACAATAATAACATTCAGGGACATTCTTTACACATGGTCATCTGATAACAAACTGAGCAGAGCTTTTACTAATGGTAAGTTGATTACTGACATACATGATTAAGTATAACATATACTGTTATAAAACATACACGTATATATTTACAACCAATTCAGAAAAAGTAAACATTTTCAAGCACACAAATGTTTGTCCTGGGTGGGAATCTAAGTGACAAACAGCGGTGTAGTAGTCTGGGTCCCGTAAACCAACATGCCCGTCAATTATATTGTTTACTCAATCACACTAAAACAGTATTATACCGTACATGAAATTCATTCAATTTGTAACATTAACATACAAGTTTGCATACCTGCTACGAATCCAAGCGCCACACCACGACTTACTCAAGACTCAAGACCTGCGGCGTGCTGTGTTTCACTTCACTCTCAGAAAATTAACGAACGGTATCACAATTTATAATAAAATTGTGCAGTGTGCACGATTCGAAATATCAAAAAAATAACAGTGAACAACAATAATTGTCATTAATTTTTCAAGTGATGCTGCCATATCAAACAGAGCAACCACCCCGCATTTAAAAGGTTTTATTAACAAAATTTGCTTAAATTTGCTTTAAAATAAGAAATGAAGTAGATGAAAATAAATATTTATTTAAATATCTCTTTTTTTTTTTTTTTTGACCTTGACCACCCCAAACAGATTACTACGGGAGCTCTCTTCTGCGCTGACGTAAAGTTATTGAACAAAATCTAGCCCAATGGTTTGTTTTACATGCTGTTTGCATCCAAAAATCGGTCATACCATCCGAGACGCCCTGTCGAATTGCTCTTTTCGTTATCAAGTGGACACTCTTGATGACTTGCCCTTTCACAGCGGATGTTTCTAAGGGCTCCAGTTTTTCCCCTTCGTTTAAAGAACCTGAAATTCTAATTAATTGCAACCAACCTAAGCTCCGGAGTGGTCGGACCGAATGAATTGAAAGGACCTTGCGAGATAAGTAATAACAGTCAACGTGGGTTTGTATCTTATAGACATTATCACATGCAAAAATATTTAACAGATTGACTCTGAGCTGCCTTTAGTTTGTAGAACGAGGCTTTTCAAATAAAAAAAATGGAACATCGCAACATCATCAACAATTAATTTATCGGTGGAGCTTCGGACGCCATCTTGAGAAAATGTTTTTGGTCAATATCTTAATTATGCACTTTAGGGCAAAAGTTATAGCGACCATTAGTGTAGAGAATAAAATTACGCATCTTTTGTTTTCATTTATTGCTCATTTAATGAACAGGTTTTTCTATCTCGTCCGATAACTCTTACACTATTAGATTAATCTATAAAATGGTCTATCCATTTTTAATGATCCATTTTTGATGAGAAGAAATTTCTCCATAACTTTAATTTAAACTTTTTTCTAATTTCATTACATTTTGAGTTATGGACGTTTAATTTAGATTATGGCGTGTACGGTCGAAAATTAGAAAAAACTGTAGCGATTGTTGAAGTACTTAACAATTAAAAATTCATCTCCGTACCTGCACTATTTACGAATTACTATATTGAAGTTACTCTTCATCTTCTCGGTACTACCATGGGAAACAAAAACTTTTTGACATTTACGTATAATTTATTTTAAACCGTTAATAATTGCATTTAATCTGTTTTTCACAACTAAATTTGATTTTGTATGATTATGTCGCGATATGTGGCAAACGTTGATAGAACTTTCTTTTTCTGTATTTAATATTGTGGCGACACATTAAGTAGGG